TAAGTCACTTTGTCATTAATATGGAGCCATGTTTTTCAACCCCTTATTTCTTATTTGTTAAAATCATTTTAATGTTCTATAGGTTTGGCCTTATGAGGCAAGTGATGAATATGGCTTTGTTCAAGGTCTGTTTGGTATTATGCATGTGCTTTTCTCTAGCGATCTGGAGAGTTCAATGTTTCCCCGGTCAGTAAGACCTCCTGAGGTATGCTCATGTTTTGTTTTAAGCACAACTAAAGGAGTTATATCATATAGAATCAAAATATACACAACTGTAGTTTAATTTCTTTACTTTTTGGTGAATAGAATCAGAGGAGGTCAGAGTTGAACACATTTCGCTTGTGCTTCAGTCTAAGCTCCTATCTATATTTTCTGGTGACTAAGAAATCACTGAGGTTGCAGGTGGGTATATAGGAAGGTTAAATTGGAGAAACATTGCCTTTTACAGTGACTGGAATTATTTAGTTTAGTTTAGTTATGCTTAATGGATTAAATTATATTTCTCTATCTGCCCTACATGTCTTATTGCAGGTTTCAGATGGTGCTGGTGATTACAATGCCCATTCTGGACTGCAACAGCCCACATTGAATTTGCTTGGTTCTCTTCTTAATTATGTGACAGCAGTTCTTGAAAGAGCGGCTGAAGAAAAATCTTTACTGCTTAATAAGGTGAAATATGATTGCAGAGCAGCTGAAGAAAATTGTTTTGTTTTCAGTTCTTATGGTACTATAATGAGGTGCAAATGGTACTGATGTTTATCACTTCACAGATTCGGGACATAAATGAACTATCAAGGCAGGAGGTAGACGAAGTTATTAATATGTGTCGCCGACAAGATTATGTTTCATCATCAGATGACATACAGAAAAGGTATTCACTTGATACCTTTGTTAGAGCTTAAATTCCAAAGTTAGCCTTTATTCTATGTACTTAGATCTTGGGTTAGGTGCTAATTTAGGGTGGTATTGGATTTGACCAAATGGTCTTTGTGTTGGAGTTTCTTATTTGCAATAGTTAAATGGCTGTACATGTTGTTGTGTTTGGGCACAAGTTAAAGTTTAAATATTGTTGATAGACGCTTACCTATGAGCAGAAGCTTTTTGGTCTCGTGGTTATTTAAAGGTTTTTTTTTTTTTTTTTTTTTTTTTTTTTTTTTTTTGACTTTATGAGGAAACAAGTATATGCTAGTTTTGTCTTTGGTAACAGATCTATCATTTGCCAATTGTAATTTTATGAATTTCTTGAGAATGATCTCTGAGCATCATTCCTGTGGGTTTGAATGATGTCAAAGCATTACAAAATCTGGTTTGGTATCCCTAATTATCTGTATCTCTTTAACATATTTTATAGAAAAAAAAAAAATGAACTACTTTTGTTCGAATAACCTGAGCTGCCACCTTTATGATGAATGTTGTCCTTTCGCTTACTCCTACCAATAGATCTGTGTTATTTAATGGTTAGTTGCCATAGAATTGTTTGTGGCTGTGTATCCCTTAAATTGTTGGTTTAGATTTTCAATAAGTTGAATGAATTCATGAGGTATCGATCTCATGGGAATCTATATATTCTCTCATGCTTCTCTCAGATAGAGTATTGCAATATATGACTGCACTGGTTGTTATTGATTAATTATGTTTCAAATTCTTTGAAGCACACATATAACGAGGAGAAAGGCTGTATGGTGTTCGGTAAACAATTGGTTGTTTAGAATTATTTAGTGTTCCATATATGTCAGTGTGGTATAGAGTCCTTCGGAGCAAAATCTTTAGCATTATTTTACGACAATTAATCTGTTTATTACCAACCAAAGCATAATCTCAAATTCTGTGCCACTGCTGTGGTGGGATATATGTTAATTCTGTACTTTTCATTATAAACGTTGCACTATTACAATAATGCTTTGCTTGATTCAACGATTCTTATTCTGCTATTGCTTCACCTTAAAACTAAAGCTTACATGAACAACTGCTTGGTTGTTGCACATTTCTTCTTTTGTTGACATGAATTTTTGTTTTGCAATATTCTACTTTACAGGAGATATGTTGCAATGGTGGAAATGTGCCAGGTTGCTGGTAATAGGGATCAGCTAATCACCTTATTACTTCCTCTTGTGGAGCATGTATTGAATATCATTCTCATCCATTTTCAGGACAGGTATGTTTCCATTCACATTTTCTCTCTCTTTCATTTCTTTTTAGGGGTTGAGGTTCCCCTATCTTGTATTTATGGTGCCCCTTTATCTGTGAAGTGTGGGCTCATTGGTAAATTAATTGTTGCTTTGATGCCATGTTGTGCTTAAGTTATTCTCGTGTCATTGATTTTTCTTTTTATTGGCAGTTCTGCTGTATCTGATAGCAGTGGTACTATGAGAATGATAACATATGGTGCCAAGTCTGACTTGGGACAGGACATTAGTATGTTCTGCGGAAAGTTAATTCCAACATTAGAACGGCTTGAATTACTTAGTGAGGTATGCTGATTCCTGGATTTTTCTTTTGTCTGGTTTTCTTTTTCCTAGTCATTGCTACTCAAGTGCTAAACCACATCTTCGAGGCATTCTAGTTTTGGAAGAGTATAGCTGGTGCTTGCTGGGATTTGAGTTCTGATTTGTTTGAAAGAAATTGAAATCATAGGAATTGGATTATAAAGGGTTAAGACATGAAACTTGAGCCTTTTTTCTTTCCATTGTTTCCTTCTATTGGATGACCATGGATCTGCTGCAATGAATATAAAAACAATCTATCATTTTGCTAAAAGTCAAATGATTACAGGATCCTCTCACGTGTTCTTCATGTGGAAACAAGGCCAACACTTTTTTGCTAATGTTCTCCCATTCACTTTGATTTGCGGATTTGGTCTTAATTAGGCCTTCAGTTGACTAGCAGTTGTTTCTAGTTTAGCTAGGATACTTTTGCTCAAAACAATTGTGACTGGTGGGGAGCCAAAACTTGAACCATTTTTAAATCATGATTGGGATTATGCAAACACTGAGATTTCTTTTTGGTGCCAACAACTATTATTAGTCCTCTTCAATTTAAGTTATTGATAAGCGTTTTGTTTTTTTTTTTTTTGCTTTTTCAGGATAAAGTCGGCCACAATCTCAAGGTATTCCGGAGAGTAGTTACTTCACTTAAAGAAATCACTATACCAAAGTTGACATGATGAAAGTGGCAAGCAGTGAAAATGTATTTGTTGGTCATCAGTTCAGGTCACAGTTATATTCATTTTCTTCCAAACATTATGTTGGCACTAGTGTGGTGCTGCAAATCTAGAATGTATCAAGTGTATTTTATGTCTGATCCTACCTTTATAATGTAATCTGTAATTAACTTTTTCATGTTTATATAGATTCCATTTTTCCACATCTTCAAGCCAGAAGTTTTTTTATTAATCTGTTTCTGGCATTTCGTGATCTTGTCACTGTAAAATGGATGGGATGTCTATATGGTAGTGCTCATCTATGAATTTAAAGAAATTGTTGGGCGTTGCGGAGCCAGAAGCAAAGATGTATTGACGGGTTTCATGATTTAAGAGTTACCTGAACCCTTTGAACATTGATAAAGGCCGTGTACATGGTATGTGAATCTAAAATTCATATTCCTGCAGTCTTGCTTTATGGAATGATTAAAGAAACCTGAAAAAGTTGGTGCTTGACTTGACAATGTCAGTAGACCTCTGGAGATGGTTTCCTATGCATGTTGAAATTATCATTACCCAAGAGATTCTATGTGGTGATTTGAAGTTGAAGGTGGGTGATGGAGGCGGATGGATTGATGGTGGAGTGAAGATTTTTTAAATTATTATTTTATGTTTTTTTTTTTTAATAATAACAAGACAAAAACATTAAAGATAATTTAGACGTTTTGCGTGATTTGGGGTTTGGTCATACATAATCACCTTGCTAATTTGATTCTAATTCTCAAAATTTGAAAGGATTGACTTAAACGATAAATTGTTTCTCTTTAAAGATTTTGGTTTACTAACGCATCTACTATTATCTAGTTCATTTAATCTAGTATTTTTAAAAAGTGATTGAAACATATTAGATTTAGTCTTGCATTTTATATTTTCATCAATTGATATGATTTGCTGGGGAGATTTTTTTTTTTTGGTTTTGAGGGGTTTTTAATTAGATTGGTTTTGAAGTGTTCTAAAAGTATTACTTGTTAGATTTTTTATGCACTGGTTTTGATTGGCTCAAAAACCCCTTAGAATCAATGTAGTGTATTTTTAAGGGGTTTATAAAGCATCTAAAATCGGGATGTTTTGGTTGGTTTTAAAATTTTATTTCACAAATACCCTATCTATTATAAAACTATCTCAATTATATCTAAAAAAATTTTAAACATATTATACGCGTCTTCAACCATATTAAATATAAAATGATTTTAAGCAATCATGAAAAAAAATTATTAAAATCTCATTTCTAGATAGAAGTGGAGCTACAATTTTTTTATCATTCAAGATGTTACAAAGAATAACGAAGAAGGATAAAAAGACTTTATTACATTTGAAATTATAAAATACTAATTAATAGAAAACAAATAAAGAAATCTTACCTTGTAATTAAAAAAACAAAACTCTCAAGTATTGGTAGAAGTTAGGGTATTTTTATGGGGCATATATATAAATTTATCATTTTAAAAAACTATCAAAACAGTACAGGTTGGATGTTTTAAAAACCGTTACTAAAAACCCCTCAAAATCATTACAGTGGTTTACCTTCAAAATCGTTACGGTAGTTTACTCTCATAACCACCATCATAAAACTCCCAAGGGCTAGAAAAAAGATATCTTAAATAAATTGTGGGCATTTTTTTACCTTTTACACAATTACGATTAATTAACATAGATTGATAGATAGAACCATTATTTGGGGTATCACTGTTAGTTTTTCAGACGAACGTAAATCGGTCCGAAAATCCCGTAATTAAAAAAAAAAAAAAAAAAAAAGGAGGGTCAGGGTGGCGATTAAATTAACTCGGGAATTTCTTAATTGTGAGTGGTAACTGGTAAGTGGCAAGTAAAGCAGGACGTTCTTTTTTCATCATAGCTGCAGTTGCACACTGTCAGTGTATGTCTCTTTGCATTCGCAGATCTAATCCAAAATTTCCCGGAAAATTAGTTCGTTATGGCAAATGCTTGGAAGAGAGACTCCAAACAATCAAGACTCCGCTTTCCCCTAATCCTCCTCTTATTCATATCCCTCTTTCTCCTCTTCATCTTCTATTTCTTTACTTCCTCAAACAACCCTAATTCTAATCCTTATCTTTCTGTGAAAACCCAATTTCAATCCTCTTCAATATCTCCTTTTAATTGCAAAAACTGCCCCCAATCCTACCCCATCATTGCTAACATTGTCGAAAATCTTAAATACCCCTTTATTTACTCTCTTCCCGATTTTGGAAAGTTGCCCGACAAGCCTCATAAAAACATTGTGAGGTTTTTGAAGGGGAAGCCCTTTAGGAAACCCGATATTTCCGAGACAATTCAGGAGGTTTTGGAGGGAATGAAAGACAAGAAAAATAAAGAGGGATTGGTTGTGGATGTGGGAGCTAATGTGGGGATGGCATCTTTTGCAGCTGCTGTTATGGGATTTAGAGTGTTGAGTTTCGAGCCTGTTTTTGAAAATTTGCAACGGATTTGTGACGGGATTTGGTTTAATAGAATTGAGGATTCGGTCACGGTTTTTGAGGCTGCTGTATCTGATCGGATTGGAAATATTACTTTTCACAAGGTACATTTTTCTACTCATATGTAAAATTTGGTGATTATATGAACTCATTACTTTTTGATTTTAGGAGTAGCAATTTATGTGGCATTAACAATCCTTAAAGTTTCTATCAGCAATTATATTCCTTGTTTAGCTTACTAAGATAGTTGATCTACATCGTTGGTGAAGTTTTGTGGCAATAGTGCGCAAATTTGTGATGCTAAATTGTAAAATAAATAATTTTGAATGTTTAATAATCAATTACCAAGACTCCTGCTTTGAAATTTTTGCAAGAGTTGATCGGGTATAGAGGCACTCATGCTTGTTTCTAGTTTACATAAATTTGGATGAACGTTATCCATCAATTTCTTTTTGTTAGGAATTGGTGTTTTCCACAAACTCCTAATCCTAAATTCCTCAACACTTTTATATGTTCTAGTGAAATTCTTTCTGATAGCTTCCATCACTTTCAACCATGTTTATTTAAAATCTTCAGTCTGTCATGCTGATTTTGTTAATCCTTATTTACACTACCAGTTGGTTGGTCGTCTTGACAATAGTGCTGTTTCGGCGACGGGAGCAAAGTTGGCATTCAAGTCCAATGAAGAAATTGCACTTCAAGTAAGGTCCATCCCTCTTGATGAAGTAATCCCACAGTCAGAGCCTGTGCTGCTCGTGAAAATTGATGTTCAGGGCTGGGAATATCACGTGTTAAAAGGAGCCACAAAGTTACTATCAAGAAAGAAAGGTGAAGCCCCCTACCTAATTTATGAGGAAGATGAGCGTTTGTTGCAAGCCAGCAACAGCAGTGCCAAAGAGATTAGAGATTTCCTATATAGTGTGGGTTATCACCATTGCTCGCAGCATGGTACAGATGCCCACTGCATCAAAGATTAATGAAAGTGGCATAATTTTGCATTGGGAAAGAGAATTTAACCACAGCACTGTTGATTTGCCTGTCTTCACTTGCCTGATGAACGGCAGTTGGATTCTTGCTGACCGCACGTAATTCTTTATTGTTTTAAGGGAAATATGTTTAACAGTAAAAGGTTTTGATGACACAATCCCACTGGTTTCTGACTGACATATATATATGGACTGAGCTTCAGACAGCAGCTCCTGAACTGCTCAGAGCAACCACCTGCTGTAGGAGACTTGGAGTTTATAATTCAAGTGAAGGGGAACTTAGGATTAGATCCAACACTGTTGAGCTTGCATCCTGGTTAAAATTTTGGTCCATTTATATGCTTGTATTTTTCCATCGGTTCTGTTGGATGTGTATTTTTGAGCATTTATATATTCTGTTTATATGTTCTGTTGGATGGCCTACATATACTGTTTCATCGAACTTTTTTAGTGAACACAAATGAAGCTATAGATCAACGATTACTTTGTGTTATTTTTTCATCTAGATTCCTGTTTCCTATTTCATTGAAATTGTTATTTCCATTCTGTTCTATTTTTTTTTTTGAATGGTTAGAGGCGTAATAATGTCCTCAGACAAGGTATGGTTCACTCGCGAATTATTCACCCTTGTGTAATGATATGGCTGTGCAACAATACTGAGTGGCTAGTACTTGTTTCAGAATTGTGCGTGGAACCCTTTAATCATTTAACGGTTTTCGGCAGGTACCTCAGAAGGAAGTTAGACAGTAGAATCTTCTAAGATGATGAATAGAAAAACATTATTACTCTTCCTAATTTATGAATCTCAACAGGGAAAAATGGTATTACTTCTGAAGTTGGGAGAGTATTATTATCCCTTCCATCGGTTTAGAGGAACACAAGTATTGTTATCTCCAAAGAATAATGGGCAACTCCATGTTTCTACTGTCAAACAAAACTTTCTTGGTCCGTCGTAAAAGAAACATGGGGCAAGACTGTCAATGGCATATACTTACATTTGTAAAGCCGGCATCTTGAATCATCATATCGGGTATGCAGAATGGGACTATTATCCAAGTAGATTTGAAGCTTAGTTAAATACGAATCCGAAACAGAAAAGAAGAAATCTTCTGAATATAAAACAGTCAAATAACCAGATTGCTGGGATTTTCTATCATAAAAGAAACCCAAACTAAGATTTAAACTTATTTTCCTTTCTCCTATTTACTTCTTGAAAGCTCACTAAGTTTCCGGATTTCAAGCATGGTAAGCCAAGTTAGCACCATAAAAATTTAATTTGATGAATAAATAACATAATTAAGCGCAGATGAGGAATTTTTTACAACACCTAGAAATCCCAGTGTATGCACAATAATATTTGATTTTTTGTTAATCATATACACTTTCAATGAAGGATTTACTAACAACTGTACCTCACCTCAATAAAATAATATTTTATTATATTGATTGATCCGACTCATACACAGTCCGGATACAATAAAACATATGTAGCTTCAAATGAGGGGCAAGGCATTTATGTCCTGCAAGAAAAATGAATACATGAACGAAAGAGGAAAAGCAGACTTCTTAAAATTTAATTCTGATCTTAGCTAACACATTATATGAATGTAAGATGCTGACAGAAGTGTGATACCTAATTATTTGATGCTTGTGCCCTCACAGTCAGAGTCACAAGCCAGACTGTAAGACTATTTTGGCCCACTAGTTTTTGAAGGGCCGGCTCTCTCCACCATAACATCATATAGTTGCTTGCCATTCTATTTTCAACATTGAAAAACAGCACAAATCAAGCATTGCATTACAGAAGTATCAGCACTCTAAGTTCATTACCCTAGTAAGATAATAACTGAACTCTATACCTCATATTTTAACTTCAATTTTTAAGATTTAATATTCCAAATTCAGATAAAAATTCAAGTTTTTAGCCACCCTCCCTGTTAAGCTGTAGGCCCATTTCAGAGGTTAGATCAGCTTAACTGCCACTTGCAGAAGAAAGGAAGATACTTAAGAATAAGCAAATCAGTAATGAATCCAATTTTTGCATCTACTGATATACTTACAAAAATTACTGGGAAGAAGTGAACTTGTCCTTCCGGCTTTGTTTGTGTCTCTTTAAAATACACCAGAATGGGGAAATTTGGCCACCAAAGCTCCCAATTCACAAAAGTTGAGTATCTGAAGAAAAATAACTTAATAAGTTGCCTACATTTTTCCAAAGTTGGGTGGGAGAGAAAGAACACTTACTTCCAACGGTTTTTCCCCCCTACAAAGACATTTTCACCTGAATCATCAAGTTGCTCCCCTACTTTGACCTCCTACAACCATAAACATCATATAAAGTAAAAAGAATTTTGGAGGATAGCTGAAATATGCAGGAAATAAGAAAAATTTAAAAAAAAAATAAACACAAAAGAAATTCAAAAAAGATTAATTAATCTGGTTCTCTATGTATCCCTCACTGACATATGCATGTGCGCATAATCAAACACTTCTCTTGAATATCACAATTGATCATAATGAACTGATATTGTCTCTCGCGTACAGTGCACTAAAAAGAAGAAAAATAGAAAGAAAGAAAGAGGATAAGAATAAACTTATATAGATTAAACACAAACACTCAAGCTAGTAGAAACTATCACCTATGATTCATTCAACAGAAAGTTTGATTTTTAAAAGATCACTCCATCTAATTTAATGCACAAATCCAACGTTGGAAAACTGAGTGTACTGACCAGAGCTTCATCGTCAAAGACAAATCTCACTCGTGTAGTCTGGAAGAAGGGAGCAAGTGTTAGCTGGATTCAGTTAAAGAAGAAAAAAGTAATATAGATATCAAAATGCAATACATGACAAAAGGAGGATAGGTGTTTTATTAAACAAAGTAATTCTTGAACATAACATTGAATGCATACTTATCCTTTATCGGTGGGAGAATCTCAACTAGATAATTCTTACAAGTTAATATGCATCTATTAATGGGATCAAAGATGGTTGGCATGATTACTGACTAGACATTTTCAAATTTAGATTTTTGAAGGTCCGCTTCTTAACTGTGAATTTCCAGTTATTGTTACCTGGAACAGCAGCAGTAATCCAAGGAGTCCAACAGGTGCAGCAGGTAATAAATTATCATTATAAGCTAACCCACCAGCTAGACCTGTTTCAGTAAACATGATACATCATATATATCAAAATTTACAGCATAAATACAATCTTGTTTAGGAAAGTAAGAATGTTTAACAGACAATGATCAAGGTGAACGGGTTCATCAAGGTCTAACCACTATGATTGGGTCAATGATAAGAAAGGTGAGTTTTATTTTGTATAGAAGTAACACAAAAATATAGGCAGAAAGCAAACTTAATAAAATCACTTGTTTCTCAGATTTGACACACTATCTACAAATCCAAATTTTATGCTGACACATTGAAGATGTAAATGTAAGACTAGCTTGAATGCATTGGAACATGTAAACTTGGCAGTGGTACTAGCTACTACACCATCTACATCTTCATGAGTACATGTAAACATTGAAGATATTCGTGAATTATCATAGTCGTAGTTTTGATGCTACTTAGAATTCAAGAAAATTAAAAATTATAAAGAAAAATAAAAGTTGGTGTGCACTTTCACAATTTCAATATCATTCATAAACTCTTTATTGACAGATCCTTGTAACTAGTTAACTACATATCTCAGAAGAGGCCGTAAGCCATAAAGGAAGCACAAAAAAGAATCACTGTTACCTACCAAGTAGTACAATTGGAATTCGATAATCAGGTTCAGGAATCACAGTCTCTCTTTTCTTGACCTTCCTTCCAAGCTGACAAACATGCAAATAATAAAAAATAAACAGAATAAAAATTGATCAATATTGAAACTCATTATCCAAGTTTTTTAAGGACTCAAAAGTAAGCTTATAAAATCAATCTAATAAAAATTCTTATTTCTGGAACCAATGTTCTACCAGCTGTTTTGGGTAATCATTTTTCTATTTGATGTAACTTACTGAAAAGTCCAACAGATAAGGTCATTAAAAATTAACCCAAAAAAAAAAAAAAAAAACAATTGAAGAAATGTATAAGCAAAGGGCGTAGCATTATAAACCACTGAGGCGACCACAACTCTGCCTCCACGGATGCTACCAATTTCTCTTCTCAAAAAACTCTGTTTATATATAACTTTCTCATAAAATGAGCTACTGCAACTCCTCGCATATAGCCCCACTTCCCTTCCTGTTCGTTAGCACATGATTAGTCCCATACAACTTCAAATTTCATATGAATGTATAAACACCACTGTGAACAGCTTAACATTTCCCGATGCAATTGTTTTTAACTATTTGTCTCAACAAAATTAACGAGAATGCAACAAAATTTGTAAGAAATATATTAAAGAAAGCACCAGAGAAGTTACAAGAACAAAACAGTACTAGAACATTGGCAAATTTACAATTTTGATGATTAAGAAAAAGCTTAAATGCTTACTTTGTGAAGAGAGAAGGATAGGACTTGATAAGAGAGCGCAAGCCATTTTCTGTTTTTGAAACATTTTTTTTGGGTTTTTCATGATAATGTGATGTTAATTGACGGATATGCTCTTGTTGTCATTCTTAAAACGACATCCTTGAAACTGTAAACGACCTCGTCTGATCACCTTAGGAAAGGTTATTTAAGTAATTCAATGAGAAAATTGTCCCTTCTCTTCGGTGTGTAGGGTGAGGTAGCCTTATCTAGTGATGGCTGTATTTATTCGTTACCACCACCAATACAAAAACATAAAGCAGAATTCTTTCACTTCTCAATATACAAAGAAGTAACAAAAACTCTGTCGAGAATGGCAAACTCCCTTTGTTTCTCCCCCGTTTGTTCCTTCAAATCCCCGAACAAGCCAGGTATGGACATACATATGCATATGCATGTATTTCGATATGAATATTTTTCACATTAATTGCTGTATTTAATTTTACTTGATTATATGTTTTTGAAAAATATTTCCCCTTTCGTGTTGTTTGTTAGGTATAGCTATCGACAATTCAGTTGCTCGAAAGTCTATCCGGGTGAATGAAGTGTTTCACAACTCAAGAACTGCCAAAATTCGATCTTTAGAGGTTAAGGTAAAGAATTTGTTGTCTTATTTATTAGAAGTTGTTTCATTTGTAGATTTTATCCAACTTCAGCTCGCTACCTTTTGAACGGTGCAAACTTTCCAATTTGTTTGTTGAACTTGAATTCACTGACAAATAAGTCTAGGTTCAATTCTCCAACAATGTTACTAATTGGCTCAACCCATTTGGGTAATTGCCAATTAGGATAGCGAAGAGGTGGCTTGAAATCACCAGGTTTAGTTGAATGGTGCATTGCATATGGGCTATTTAATCTTTCGTGAAACTTAATGAATGCAAGTAAGCTGGTAACAAAGGTTGATAGCCTGACAGACACCGTAAAAACTCATATCTCTATTCTAGGATTGGAATCACTAGAATGTTACCCATACTATTAAGGCAGGATAGATGATGTGTCAAGAAGGGAAACTAGAGGCAAAGATTCTCTATATATGTGATACCAAAATACATAATAGAATTTGATATGTTCAGGTGGTAATGCGATCTAAGCTTGAATTATAAATCAATGCACTTGCTGTTTCAGACCTTCATGGGATGAGTAGAGGTGTTAAGCAGTTGGTTAATAATTTGGTGCAGCAGCAAGGAGTGGTTTCATTATTGTTGGTGGTGCAAAAATTCTAGGAAGGACAATAAATATAGATTGAAACTTTTTAATAATATTTGGTTGCCTGTGACATTAACGTAGATCCAGAACAAATGGGTAGCAAAATTCTATACCTTGTTGTGAACAACTAAGATGTAGCACTGCAATAGGTACTATGTTTTATAGTTCAGTTGGATTACACTGATCTGAAATTTCGGTTATCTTCCTTTGTAATTATTTGACTGCAAGTTCTCTTTCATTTTGGCTCAACAGGCTGCAGATAGCAATCAAAGCGCCAAACCAAGGAGCATAGTCTGTGCTGACTGTGAAGGAAATGGTAAGCAGAGTATTGCTTGTCAATTACCACTTTAGTGTTATCTTGATGTTTGAGACTAGATGCTTTGTTGATATTCTCAGTCGTTTGATTCATGATGTTTGAGCCTGAAATAGTTTCTCATATATATCAGCATTTAGTGATATTACTCTACTTTTATTTTCTTTTCATTTTGTTTCTTTTCCTTTCTTTTTTCCGTTTCTCCTTGTTATATATTTTCTGCGTGTGGAATGGTGCATAATTTCAATACTTCATGTTGGAAAGAGTCAATGACAGACTAGAAACATATATTCAATTTACTTCATAATGAGTCATTGCATATGGCATCAGGGGTATAAAGTTATCCGTTTTCTCCCAGTCTCTGTGATGTCTCCCTCTGGAGTGTTTAAACGTTTGTTTTTAACACCTCAAAAGTGATCCTTGGATATGGGTCACTGATCTGGAAGTACAGTTGTTCTCATCCTTGTGCTGGTGGTTTTAAATCTATTTTAGTCTTTTTAGATTTGCTTCCCATTCTTGTAAAAAGGTTTTACATTGTTACCATACATCAGCATTTTGCCAGTATCATTTTCAGGTTCTTGGGGTGAAAATTAATTTATTTCTTTTCTTGTTTATTTTCTGAGATTACCACCAATATATAGTTATAACTTATAGCTCATATACTGTGTAATCTCCTATAAAACTACCAGGTGCCAAACAATGTTCTCAATGCAACGGTACTGGAGTTAATTCTGTGGATCATTTCAATGGACAGTTTAAAGCCGGCGGATCATGTTGGCTTTGCAGGTACTGATGTAAAACTGTGTTTTTCTTTCTTAATTCTTGGTTTTTAAGGTTCTCATCATAATAGTTTCACAATACCATCAAAGAAATTAAGTTTCTTTCTTTTTTCATTCTTCCAACCCTCTCATTTTTTCTTTTTTCCTTCTTAGACTTCAAAATTTTGGGATTTCTCTCCGGTTTGCTTGACTGAATAGTTTTTATGTAGGAAGTAATCTACTATGGTAATGTCTTTGTTGTAACAAAACATAGTTTCAAACCTACAAAACCATGGATTTTCCACTTTTTAATTTTTTCATTATTTTTATTTTCTTTGTCACCATGAATTCCGTAAGTTAAGGTCATTGTAGACTATAAAGAGGAGTTCTTCCATTTGTCCCTTTTCATGCATGTATTTTATTGACGTAGTATCAGAGTCATTATGGTATCTCATTCAAGTGCACTGAAAACAATCCATTCCAATTATGGTAAAATTGTTGAAACATAGAGAACATAATGTGAGGTTTTCATTTAGATTCAAAACCTGGAAAGTATTGTATAATAGGCACTGATCTCTTCTATATGATAGTTTACAACAAATCACTCTGAGTTATCAACGTTTACATCAAGCTATTTATATGCTATGAATGAATTTGTCAAACTTCTTTTCCTGACTTTTATGATCTGAAATTTGCTTCCATGCAGCCTCCTATTTAGATTGTACTATTGTTTATTTTTTGGATTTAACGAGCATTTGATATTATTAAATACATATTGTTGCAGAGGGAAGAGAGAGATTTTGTGTGGGAATTGTAATGGAGCTGGGTTTATTGGTGGATTCATGAGCACATTTGATGAGTAAGAGGTAGTAAAATTGTGTCTGCCTGCCAAGCTATGTGTTAATTAGGTTCTGTTATGTTCGTACGTTGAATGGCAGTCATATAATACATCATACGACAGTTCCAGACGTATGAAAAAAGTCTTGTACCATTTATTTGGAGTGGAATTTCCAAATTTTCCAAACCAACCAGGATATGCTGAAATTTTGTAATGTTGATGATGTATTTGTTTACCTATTTTCAGTATCGATGATGTAATTCAAGTATTTTCTGCATTCAAATTTAATCTGAATTGAGAGTTGTTCGTGTAGATTTTGGCTCACTTCCTTCAATTAAATACTTAATTGACACAGAGAACTAATATGGTCTACAAGTCCACAGTTCACTTGAACGAATTAGGAATGTAGAAAACCAGTCCAGTAAACTTGGAATACGCTCAAAAGTAAATATTGAGAAAGCCATATATTAGCCCTAGTTCTCATGCCAAAGAAATCTTATTCCTTAAAATACTCTATTTAAAACTTTTAAAAGAAGTTATTGTTCTTATGACACTTCATAATTTTATAGTATCTTCAAGAACATAATCAATAAATGACTAAGTTTAGAAACTGGGACTACTAAACAATAAAAGCAATAAATAAAATTGAATGTGTTAACAGATCGTGCAGCGAAAAACATATTTTCAAGATAAATAATATAGGATTAAAATTATACTACATAAAGAGACACAATATTTACATGGTTCGACATAATCCGTCTACATCTATAGAAAAAAGAAATCTATTATAGTTTCATGAACACGATATATAAGAGTACACAACACTATAAACCTAGTATATAAAACAAAACGGAAACTATTCTAGTTTATAATCACGCTCAACCTAATAACTAAAGTGGAAACGATCCTAGTTTCTAAGACACTCTTCCCATGGTGTTTAATAACCCTTACATCAAATATTCTGTATTCTCATATTCTCTCATTCTCTCGTAACCTTGAATTGATTATCAATCTTATATTTATAGGTAGTATATGGGATACTCTATTCCTAATAGGATTTATATTTCAATTCCTAATTGGACTCTCATAATTCTATTCCTATTTATAATTATATTTTTTACTATAAAGTTTTTCTAAAGACATACAATTTTACTTGGGAATAAATAGGAAAATGAGCTACAATATCCCAAGAGAATGCAAATCAGAAAATTAAATAAAAATAAAAACATATGTCGGAAGAAACTAATGAATATTAAATAAAATAAATGAGAAAAAATAAATAAACTAATGAATATAAAGTATAAATAAATAAAATAAATGAGAAAAGTAAAATATAAATAGACGCGCCAGGTAGGGGTCGAACCTACGACTTTCTGCTTAGGAAACAGACGCTCTATCCACTGAGCTACAGGCGCCGCTTAATATTTAAAAACAATTTAAATTATTTATACATGTTTACACAATTGTCCACCCCACGTGATTAATGGAGAAATCAAAATGATGTCTTATTTAAATGATGAAGTTAAAAATCTGTGTTATAATGTGTTAGATTTGGGAAGACACCTGGTTAGTGGTTCCTTTGGAGCTTGAGGGATTTGCTTTATGCATGAATGAATGTTTCTAGGTTGACGTAGCTAAGTTTGCCCTCGTTAGAAGAACACTTGTACCAAACTGTTTTTGAACATATAAGTCTTCTTTTTAACAGTAAAAGCGATCTCCAAAGGGAACCCAGGTCCCATTATCATTTCATTGACAAAATTTTCGGATTTAAAGTATTGACATGATTCATTTAATGTGCCTATTCTTTCACTTAAGGAACAAATTAGCATGGTCGAAAACAACAACTTTCATTTCATCTCTATTTGACTCATACAGTGGTCAGTAGCCATTACATTCAGAAACTTGACTCCAGACTTTTCTAAAATTTCATCTTTTAACTCTAAACATCAATATTTTGGGTTCAACATTGGTTTAGGTCCAAACGGAACTACTCTAACCTTCTATACTATACTCTGGGTGCTCTCTCAGTCCAAGGACCCTGGGAGAGAGAGAGCAGCTGGCGCAAGCAATTGAAGCGGAATGGCCAACAATGTCAAAAACCTATGAAGAATCAATATCTGTAACTCAATTTACAGTTACATATAACAATAACATATATTCTAAGTAGTTGAATTGAATTTTGCCACTGCTCCAAATATTACTCTTCTGTAAATTGCACATACATATATCAGAATTATCTGGCTCCTGCTTATAAGAATGTTGGAAGGCCTCAAAGAGAGATCTCCAAAAATATTCTAGCCTCTTGTTACATGGCCTTTCTTAGCTTTTCCATAGACCAACCATCCACATAGAATATAATTAATACAATGGCCCAAATATCAATCGAGGGCACAAAAGATCACGAAAAATTAGATACCCATCCATAAATGGTTAAACCAAAGTTCATAGATTGAATCATATCTTGAATAAGAGTTTGGCTTATGCACAACCATAGTAATTTAATGTTTTGTGAAGTTACAGGAAAAAATAAAAGGGTTTTAAATATCAACAAGAATGTTAAGGCTTGCGCCATTACTTACACAAGGTCACAAAGACTGCAAAGCAGTCATCCATATCATGATAATATTAGACGAAGGATCTCCCCTGAATGCTTGAACGATTTTTCTGTTTCATCCAGACAATGGTTCTTCTCCTCTCTAGTCCAGCTCTGAGTAATCCCACATATAAATACATGTATTAGTTCACTATATTGATAAGCAATAAAAATTTATCCATCTGTGTTGTCAAATTTAAAAATTAGTATGGAAAATTTATTCAATTAAGATTTAAATTTATAGATGAAAATGGACTGTTCAATCAAAGGAAAAGCAAGGTTGACAGAAGAATATGCAATAGAATAGCGACTTACCTCTGCAACTTTATTCAGCTTGTCTCTTACATTCTGCAAAAGTTGGGAAAGTTCACCATCCCATTTATAGAATTCCAATTCCTTGTTATCAAGTATCTTCTCGGCAACCTAGTATAGAAAGAAAAGGAGAATAAAAGTAAGCAAAGATAAAAAGATAATACCTAACCCGGCAGCATGCCAAGTAATCTATAAAATTATACAAGCTGAGCACAACAGAAACTAGGGGCAGTTCCGGTGTCATGTCTAACACAGATTGTGCATGTTAATCCTGTGTTCACAAAACTGTTCTCATGCCAGACACACATACATAAATAATATCAAAGACACATTTTTAAGCTAATACCTTTTTCCCAATCATTCGACCACCAGCTGAGTGGGCAAAATATATGTTGTAGAAGTGGCAAATAAAAGCTTGAGGATCCTTCTCTGACAATTCCTTAAGATACTGTGCATAGGTAATACCAGGAGAAGATGGTTCTGGAATGGTATACCCATGCTCTTTGAACCACTCCAAATCTTTTTCCAATTTTTCAGACCTTTCCAGTCCTGTGTTTCTGAACTCAGCATCTACATTGAAGTAATGTAGCAAATTATAAATTAGGTTAGGCATGTAATATGACACACAAAAAAATAACCAGTCTTAACAGTCAACACGTGCAACACCCCCAATTTACCTCTCTTTTCTTTACCAATGAGAAGACAAAAGCAGATAGCAAATACTAATTAAGATTCCATAAAAAAAAATTTAGCAAAATATGGTTCATAATTAGCACTGCACAGCTATACGAAAGGATATCCCACCAAGATCTAGCAGTTAAACATCAAACTCTACTTCAGTTCAAGAATTGAACAACTAGAACAAGCAAAAAAAAAAAAAAAAAAAAATTAATTTTCTCTGTGGTAAATCACACTCTGTTTAATGAGGATTCAGGAGGCCCATTCGCAGTTTAAGAATAAAAATTGCATACTTTGCATGGAAACCTGCTGCAAAGTGGACAATGAATAAATTTAATCAGAGAGGACCTTTGTAAATTATAAAATTGATAGGAGTTACAGAAATTCATCCAAGAAGAATACTTCAAACAATAAAGAGGGAAGAAGGGAAAAAGTGCTAGAATTAAAAAATCATCCTATATTTCTCCGTTTTCCCTGTAGAAGAAGTTGAGGAGAAGGCATTAACTATTTCCTTTAGGAAGGCTCTATGATTTACTAGAAGAAATAAAGCCCATTTTTTTAAATAAAGCCAAAAATACAGAATCAAATATCACGCAGATTTGTGATCCCACATAAATGAAGACTAAATCAAACCTACTTCTTATGACAGAAAAAACACAAGTACCAAATTCTCTTAAGCACGTTCTGAAATTCATAATGATAAAACAACCTTAACAAAAACTTGGTGGCACTAAAACTACCTTAAACCCTATACTAAACACAATTGTAAAACCAACACAATCATATTCAAAAACATCAACAACTACGAAACCATGAAAAACTCACAAATTGGAATGGGGGCTTCTTGAATGATCCCTTCAAGAGTATCATAAACCAGCTTGCTATCAACAAGAAACCTGAGGTATCCATCAACTGAAGGCTCCCATTTAGTTACAGGACGCTCCTCAGGCTCCTTGACCTCCTTCTCTCCTTCTTTAGCCTGGTCTCTGGTATGCAATTTCATTGCCACAAACCTCATCTCCTCCACAAACCCCTTTGCCTCTCCTGGGTAACGCTTTCTTGCCTTCTCAGCAGTTGCTGCGGACACCACAACGACCCCGTTTCTCGGAGGCATTCTAGCAATTTTGTATGATTGAAACTGAACTGGCAAGAAACTGGAACCGAAAGCACTAGGTTTGGCGTTGGCGTTGGTGGTTGTGAGGTGAGGTCTGATTAAAAAAGATTGGGACTGAGAAATTGAGGTAAGAGACGCCATTGGAACGTTGAAAACTAATCAGTTTGGTTTGAGAAGAAAGAGTGTACGGCAACGATGAAGTGACAAAAACGAAAAAAATATAGCAAGAGTGGGTTCAATTACCCTTGAAGCCAAAGCTACGGATATATGTAAATAGACAGATATCAATAATTTTTAATATAAAATTAATAAATAATTAATGGGGTCTTTGCTTATGGGGGTGAGTATGGTCTCTCTGGCGTTGGTTTCCAATTCTATCTATCAATATTCAATACTAACCTTCGCCAATGGATTTTATAATTTTCTATTAAATAATTATTATGGAAACTGAGAATTTCGTCAGGGTAATGTCATGCCAGGTGGCCTTGTTTTAACGACAACGTTTTCGAAATAAGCGGAGCACTGCTGGGTAAACACGTAAAACGACTACGTTTGTTTTGTGGTGTTGTGCGGTGTGCCGTGGACAACATGGAGATGTGTGTGGAATGTTAAGTGTTGGAAGTTTCTTTTCCTTCTAATTTAAACGACTGCATTTTTGCCGGGATTCTGTCCTTCAATCAAATGGTCGGGACAATTATGTCGGAAACACGAATTTTAAAAGAGTAAACGACTTTTTCACATTCAAATAATTATTTAAGATACTTTTCTATTTTCAGTTTTTAAAATATCATTTTATTATTTTAATTTATATTCTTATTTTTTATTTTGGTATCGTTATGACATCATATTATTATCATTCTCTTTTTCAATTATCACTCATCAAAACCTCTTAAATTTATCGAATGGTTACAGCACATTTCCATCAAAATCCAACATTTCATCACCAAAAGACTCATCAGCCTCATTTCTTCAAAAATCTTGATAGTTTATACGAGTTTACTCTTTGTTCATAATAAAATAATATTTTAAAAATTTGTCAGTGAAAAAGTGTCATTAAACCATTATTTAGGTAGAAAAAAGTCATTAACACGTTTTAAAATGCAAAATAGTAGACAAAGTTTTTTTAATTATGGTTAAATTTTAACGATCTGAATTAAAAAAAATTACTACCCAGTAAATATTTAATAGAAGTGCATTTATTTAAGAAATAAAACTTATTATAAAAACAAAAAATGTGAAAACGCAAAAAAATAAAATGAATAATGCTTAAAAAAACCAACAGAAATAAAAAAACTAAAAAAAGAGAAATCAATAAATATTTAAATTTAAGACATGTTTGGCATGTNATTAAGATTGGGATTTGGGAGAGAAGATTTTAAGTTATTAAGATTGAGATTATGGAGGCAAAGATTAGGGAGGCAAAGTTTTTGGAGGCAAAAGTTCATTCTGTAACCCAGCGCGAAAAAATTTCAGAAATTTTTTTTTTTTTTGTTTTAGTTGTCTGATGTGGCAAGTGACTGACGTGGCAGATAAATTGACACTGCCACGTCAGACGCCACATCATGTTGTAGGTTGATTAGTAAAAATTTGGAGTATGCATAGTATAATTGATAGTTTTTTACTTAATGTTTTTTAAATATTATTTTATTATTTAAATTTATACTTTATTTTCAGTTTTTATAACGAATATTTTGTTTTCAATTATGGTATCGTTACGACATCATACCACTATCATTCTCTTCCTCAATCATCATTCACCAAAATCTCTCAAATTTTATTCTTGTCAATCTCGCCAATCGTCAGTAATCAAATAGCTAGAGTTTGAACAACTGACATTTCTAAGTCAAATTCCCATCAAAATCCAATCTTTTATCACTAAAAGACTCATCAGCCTCCCCTCTTCAAAAACCTCAATAGTCTATACCGAGTTTACTTTATGTTTGTAGTCATAATATAAATTTGGGTAATAAAATAATATTTTAAAAGTTTATCGGTAAAAAAAGTATCATTAAATCATTATTTAGGTAGGAAAAATTCATTAACTTGTTTTAAAATACAAAATAGTAGACAAAGTTTTGTTAATTATGGTTAAATTTTTAACGATCAAAATTAAAAAAATATTACTACCCAGTAAATATTTAATAGAAGTGCATTTATTTAAGAAATAAAACTTATTATAAAAACAAAAAATGTGAAAAAAAAAATCAATAATGCTTAAAAAACCAAAAGAAATAAAAAAACTAAAAAAAGAGAAATCAATAAATATTTAAATTTAAGACATGTTTGGCATGTGACAGAACATCATAACAAATCCTGAGCAAATAGAGTCAGGGGTGGATAATTCTCATTAGAATATTATATAAATCTTGTTGCTTTCTTACATAGAATATTATATTTTCAAACACTCCTATTACAGACGTCGCTTTGGCCGAGTGGTTAAGGCGTGTGCCTGCTAAGTACATGGGGTTTCCCCGCGAGAGTTCGAATCTCTCAGGCGACGGTTTATTTATTTATTTTTTTTTTTTTTTACAGTAAGTAATGTCCTTCTCTTGAACTGATATTCGCCGCAAGCAACATATTCCTTATTCACCTAAATGGCTAAATTAACCGTAGTTATAATAGTTGCATCAGTGGAATCACATCACTTCTGTAATCCTTATACAATATCTCAATAGAATTTCTGCACTCCCACTTTAACGCTTAAATTAAACACTGGTTTATTTTGCCCTTTAATTTGTAATTAATTGAACTTTGAACATATCTTCCTAATCTCTCCATCTCTACCAGTCTTGACTTCTATGCTACTCATTTTGATCATAGCTTTTGGAAATTCATGATCAAATCTAAGTCCCAGTAATCCTCTTATGGTGCCCGCATAGTTCTCCACGACACTACGTGTGACAGAATCCCCCCACAACCTTTGGTCCGACTCTAGAACTCCTTTACCATCTCGTATATTCTTAAAAAAGCTCACATCAAAATCAGTCTGGCTATCTATGTCCAACGCAACACGTTTTGAACCGTCGCCACCATTGGGACAAAGGGTTTGGAGTTGTGCCAAGAACGACTGGTTTATTGTAGGATCTGCACTGCCTGTTTTTGTGAAGTTGTACAGACGATATCGGAAGAATAAACAGTCTGTTTGCCCTATGGTATGTGCTCCTGTCATATAAACCCGTATTATGTATTATACTGCTGATTCCATTTAAAAGTAACTTAAAGTGGTAGATAAAGAGGGCACTAATACTACGTACCGACCAGTGTTACAAGATCGTGATCGTCAAGGCCTTTGGCAGCAAATTTTTGCCTCTGGACAGCGACGGAATCAAGAGGTGAAGGCAAATTGGAGGCTTGGGATGATGAAGAAACTCTGCCATCTCTTCTACCAGTTGGCACTTTCCAGCTTGGACCATCACTCTGAATAAAAGTGTATATATATATATATATATATATATAGAAATATGAGTAGTCACTTAAATCAGATTGAGCATGCGTAAAAATCAAGCACGTGAGTTGAACAAGTACCAAGTCAACGGCATCACGAGCAGCAAGTGCTAATATATCAGCACATGACACTACACCAGGGCACAAAGCCTCTAGTTGTGTTTTTGCATCATCGATTACTTCAAATCCTCTTAATCCGAGATTTGGCAACGCGTTTCTCTCAGCCGAAGACCCCGCAATCAACACTGAGCCATCACAACCCTGCGTAAAATATACCCATGTCCACGTCACTTCAATTAATTACTAGTAGAACCATATGCATACCTCATTTAAGCCTCACTGATAGCTATAAAATATTTCATTCTGAATTTCTTTATTTATATTACAGTATGTATAAAAAGAAACAAAAGTAAGGAGGAGATGATGAAATCAACCTGCACGAAGCAGTCATGGAAATGAAGCCTTAGTAAACCTGGTGCTACGGTGGGATCTTTGTTGAAGTGTGATGTAACTGTAGACCTGACAACCACCCCAGCCTTTGGGCATGAAGAAGAATAAAACCCAGGTCTCAATCCTCCTTGGCTTTGTACTGACAAAACCATCACCAATATCACCACCAGGAAATATAAACACATGCCTTCCATTTGTAGCATTAACAATTTGAAACGAATCTCGAGTTGGGTACCAGCAATTTGTAGCACAACCTAGTAGCTATACATACATATATATATGACTATATGTGCTTAACTGGTTGTCCACTTCATTGATGTTTTGGTCTTCACATTACCATGCACTTTATGTAGTGGAGACGCGTGGGACCATTAATGAAATAGGGGTCAGACCTCTTTCTAATTTTGTTTGTTTATTGATAGGGAAAATTTGGAGGTGGATTTGATTGTGATTCCTGTTGGTTTTGAAGGAAAGGATATATCGAATAACGGAGAATTCTACTTTATCAACAAAACTTTAACTTTAATTTGTTCCTAGACGCGTTTTTCCTCTTTTCCATTCCATTATTTATTTTCTCTGTTCTTGCTTCTTTTTCCCTAAATTCAGCTGATCGTTTTCACATTAGTGTTTGCATGGATGATTTTTAGCTACCCACTTGAATGTATGTAATGAATATATGATTCTACTTGCCAATATTGGTCCTGCATGGCTAGTAGTAGGGCGTTCAAATATATATATATATATATATACTTCTCTTTAATCTGAATTGCTGAACTGTTTTACATGCATGCCCATGAAAGCAACTTCTGGAGTTGTTACAAAGGTTCTGGAAAATGTTTTGTTATATACAGTGAGTATGTTTTATGGAAATTCCAATATAATAAATGTTCCTTTACAAATTAAGATGTCAAAACTGTTACTAATTAATTAGTTGGATTATTAAAATATGTAAACTGAAATTGCATTAAAAAATAAGGTAAAATTTCATATATTTGTTTGATTTTACAAGTCAACTGTCAACTGATATTTTCATTTCAATTCTTTACTCGACAATCTTGACTTCACTATTAAATTAATGGCTTATCTAAATATATACTCTTTGATAACATTACACTAATCCTAGATATACTGGTTAATAGTGCGTGTCATCCATTTTTATTTCTTTTAATTTGTTTTTGATATTTATGTAACCAATCATTGTATACCACACCACAAGTGAATAGCAGTTTTAATATTACACCATTTGACATTTGCAGTGAGTGGATGGAGTAATAAAGGATATGGCCAACACCAAATTATGTTTGGTTTATATCGTCAGAAACCATTTTCTTTTACTTTGATTCATTATAACAAGTTTCATCTGCTTTCAATAAAAAAAATCAGTATCCAAATCATCTACAAAACTCTTCCTTATCAAGTTAATTGCAACAACCACCTAAGGTTCTCAAAAGTAAAATAAGATACTGAATTTGTGGGTATTTTACAAATCATCCCTAAGATTCTGAATTTTGGTAAAATACCACCGCTGGATTTGACGCCGTCAAAAGAAATTAATGGTGGAGGGTAACATTGAACTTTAGACTGTTTTTATGTGTAAAACTTGTAGTTTAATTTCACGTTATTTTGTAAGGGTAAAAAAAAAAAAAAAAACTAAAACCCTCTTATTTCTCCATCTGCATTCTACCCTCCGGGATGGTTTTTGTTGAATACTTTCTGTAACCTTTACGCTTTCCCATATGTGAGCTTTACGCCCAAGCGTTCCCATAATCAAATGGTCCAATGGCAGATCGGCCTCTAGCAGCCCAGTAATTTGTTATTGTTATTCAGCCTTCTAAAGATGAAAATTATTTCCCAAACTTTTTTGGTTGATACCAAAGAGCAGTGTTTTAAAACTTGGCCCATCTTGGCCCAATCGGTTGAACTGGTTCTACCAGGACCCAAGGCCTTCACCAAGCCGAGTTACCAATTTCCCTATTCAATGAAAACCATTGAAATCAGGATGATAATCGGAGAACAATAGAAGGTCGAGATGTTGGGGGTTTTGAAAAATAAGGGTCAGTAAGTGCAATGGTGGCGACGGAGGTCATTTTTTGTGAGTGAATCGATCGAAAATCGAAAAAAAAACCTGTGGCAGCAATAGACGACTTTTGTTGGCGATTGGTGAGGCGAACGGAGATGGGGTGAGATGGGCTTTGGTCAAGAGGTTAAGGGGAGTATTTTCATGGTGATAAGGAGGGTTGTCAACGCCGACAAAAGTGAAATCTAGCAGAAATCGAACCGATTTTGGATAGATTTTCTGGAAAATGGCTCAAAGGATGATTGAGATTGCATTTGGTGTGTCATCGTTGCCAACCAGTCGACCGCCAATTTGTATTTAGGGTATGTTTGCTAAATTGTAAACTTGTAGGGACTTAACATAATTTTTAAAGGTATATTTACTGAATTTTAAACTTTTGGACACCGGGTTTGATCGGCTGATCAATTCGAACCTGACAACTTTATTGGGTTTTACCCTGGGTTGGTTATTAAAACATTGCCAAAGAGTAATACTATAATACAAGATGGTAATGTTTTTTATCCCTTGTGAACCTTTGGATTGCCGGTCCGCAAGGGTAAACAATGTTAAGTGTTAACCCCCTTATTTAAGAAAGTTATAATTTAATGTCTCTCATTGTTTTATTATTTAATTTTTACCCATCTACTCATTTTTTACTACACCATTATATACAAGAGTTGAAATTGATTTATATGCACTAAACTATTGGGTGGCTGAGTTGAGTGTAATACTCAAAAGGTCATAAGTTCGAGTCTCTGCTCTGGTGCTAATAAGGATAACGACTAGAGCTTTTAACCATCCAGTAGTTTTAGCGTCTCGGAGGATTAGTTGAGATGCACGTAAGTTAGCCCGGACACTCTTGGTTATTAAAAAAAAAAAAAAGATTTATGTGCACTAGTTGGTAATAAAAAGTTTAGTTGTAGAATATTATTTGATAAATGCTACATATCAAAAAATTTATTTTGAATTTCTGATTATCTTATGTTTAGTTCGTAATATATATATCAGGCTCTGATTTTGAGCTAATTAGAGTAATTAATGGAAAATATTTTTGTTTTTCGTTGAGTTTACCCCCATCGATTTACTTACAACGGTATCAAAGCTAAGGCATTGAATGTATATATTTCAATGGTATTTTAATTGATTAACTGAATCGATTGTTGAATATTGTATGTTTGGTTTATTGATCTGTTAATATTGCTTAAATTGATTAACCATGTTGGATTTGCTGAGGGATTCACTTGGTTATAAGCAGAATTTGAGCCTCTGGAGCCCAACTTCTCATAGGCTAAATACTTGATGAACATCTGCTATTGATAATTATTGAAAAAAAAATCTAGAGTCTGTCCTCTTTGAGAAAATTTATTTTCTGGATGCTCTTACTAAAACAAATATGTAATTTAAAAACGTAATCCATCACAATTTTTATGTCTTAACTTTCATATAAAATTTCAGATCCAGAAATATAAAAAACAATTCATATCCTCCCTAAGGTAATCATATCATATATTTATGATTATATTAATTTGTTTCACCCTAAATTTAACATTTTACATGTGTGTTAGTATCTAAAGCATCCATCATAGTCCATAGATACATGAAACGTGAAAAAGTTAAAAAAAATAAAATAAAATAATAAATGATACAAAACGAAAGAGGCAATCTCTTTCAGTACTATCCATCTGCTCAGACAGAGTCCAATTACTTGGCTTCTTGTTCCAGAACTGGGACTTTTTTCCATGTATCGTCCAATCCACTTATTTGCAATGGGGGCAATGAAAAAACGCTAACAGTGGAGCTACCGCTCCGAATTTCCTTCAAAGCCCGCAATGCTGAAATAGTACTCTTCATGTATAAACTCTCGATATACTCAATCTCTGCAAGTTCTTTGGGCATTGAAAGAATATCACCATCCTTTGTTGTTGCCGAAGAAGTTGGATCACAACCGTCTTCCCCATCAGGCGCATCTTTTGAAACTGGCTTTTCATTTATGGGGAAGAGGCTATCAAGCATTTTCTCACATTGCTTAACCAGCTTGTAAAGCAAGTCTGTAGTGAAGAAGGGCTGCTGCAATACCCTTTGAATGAATGGTAGACGAATCAGAGCACCAGTTCGTTTGTCATACTTCTTCAGTATCTTTACCAATCCTGTAATTTACAGCCATATTAATTACATCCACGATTGATCTCATAAACAACAACACAACCACCATTGCATATTCTAAGGCCATATGTTCATATCAGAAAGGGGCCTCAGTTTCTATATCTTTAAAAACAATAACTAAGTTCCACTTGAGAAAAAGCTTCTTATACTTGACCCAACGAGAGATCAAAATATTTTACGGAATCAATGCACTCTAATACATGGTTAATACTATATTTGTTCATTTTAAAATTTGATCAACCAGAGGGAAAACAAATTGAGAATGTTAAAATACCTGTATAGTTAAGGGCGCTATAATTCTCCAATAAAACCATCTCTCCATGGAAGTCCACAATCTCCTTCCGAATTTTTATCATCTCTTCATTGGAATTCTTTGCCTTTGCCACTCCATCTTGTAGTTCCTGCGTTCCATTCCCAACACCACAAACTTGTCAATATCAATTATTACATTTTAGCACATAATTTCAATTCTTGAAGAAATCAAACTTGACAATTATCATTTTGTATCCCAAATCCAAAGTAATAGTTTCCTTTTAAAAAAGAAAAAGAAAAAGATAGTGCACATAACTAATAAATAAAATCAACTCTCACATCCATTAGGACCAATTTTCTAAATAAATAAAATCAACTATCATATTGAGTATTTTACTTGTAATATTATAATATCGCAACATATTCAACACAGCCAATGATAAAGTTTTTATGGATACCTTTTTATCGTTTTGTAAATCAAATCCAATAAATAAAATCAACTATCACATTACTTAGGATTTAAATTAATTTTCTAAATAAAGAAAAAGAAAAAGATAGTGCACATAACTAATAAATAAAATCAACCATCACATCCATTAGGACCAATTTTCTAAATAAACAAAATCAATTATCATATTGAGTATTTTACTTGTAATATTATAATATCGCAACATCACAGCCGATAAAGTTTTTATGGATACCTTTTTATCATTTTGTAACTCAAATCCAATGTTATAATTTCTTTTTTAAAAGAGGCAAAACCCATTACCTAACTGAATAAATAAAATCAACTATCACACTACTTAAGATTTAAACTAATTTTCTAAATGAAGAAAAAGAAAAAGATAGTGCACATAACTAATAAATAAAATCAACTATCACATCCATTAGGACCAATTTTCTAAATAAATAAAATCAACTATCATATTGAGTATTTTATTTGTAATATTATAATACCGCAACATATTCAACACAACCAATGATAAAGTTTTTATGGATACCTTTTGATCGTTTTGTAACTCAAATCCAATGTTATAATTTCTTTTTTAAAAGAGGTAAAATACGTTACGTAACTGAACAAATAAAATCAACTATCACATTACTTAGGATTTAAACTAATTTTCTAAATAAATGAAATCAACTATCATATCAATAGGGACCAATTGGGTATTTACCGTTGACCCTATTTGTAATATTACGATATCACAACATATTCAACACAGCCAACGATCAAGTTTTTATTAATAAAAACTACTTATTATTTTAACACGTAATTTAAATTTCTTAATAAATTAATCCGAAGTTATGAAATATATTTTTTAAGAAAAATAAAGATGTTACGTAATTAAAGGAATAAAATCAGCTATCACATCAGTTACAGACCCATTAAACCATCGTAGTTATTAAAATATCGAGTCGCAACATATTCAACACAGTCAGCTTAACAAGAAAGCTTTCAAGTAATAAAAACTACTAATTATTCATTCCCCACTACCAGCTCAAACTACATCAGTTAACACCTACTGACACAAAAAGCAGAAAAGCACAACTTGACATCTATCGCATATTAGCCGAATATGCCATGGAATTATTCTAAAATTTCCTGAGTCCTGAAGATAACATTATAACTAGGGTGTGAAACAGTTGGCAATAGGACAGCTGGCACATAGCGAAAGTTAGTTTTACGAAAGTAACGGCAAAGCGCCAAGAGAATAGCAGCATAACGGTCCAGTTCTCAGACATCTAGATCTCAGTGGGTGCAACGTGACCTAAAAATATTCCGTTTTTATCTTCATTCTACCAAATTAAACTTAAGATATTATAATCCTAATAAATTATTCCATGTTTGTTTCATGAGAAAGCGAAAGAAAATTACGGAACAAGCGAAACGAACTAAGAGAATGAACTTACCTTTAATCTAATGATGTATTCTTCCTCCTTTTCAACAAAGAAGGTATTGAATTTCTCCATTTCGTCGTCCAACAAACTTATAAAATTGATTTCCTCCCTCGACATAGTATCACTAGTCTTATTATCATCTCCGGCTACCGTGGACTCGTCGAATCTGGGCCGTTTGTTGGGCCTCTCACCACCTTTATTAGGCTCCACGAGCTTCAACCTCTTCTTGAGGTCCTTGTAGGAGAGAAACTTGTCTCGCCATTCAGGTAAGGTCTTGTCAATTTGGTTGCTGAGGCTCTTACCAAATTTCATGTTTGATTAGAGAGAAAAATAGAAAGAAAAGTGAGGGAAAATGAGGATCAGAAAGAGTGAGAGAGAGAGGGAGATATAACTGTAAGAGCAGAATATTCGGGGGGTTAGTTTTGGAATATCCGTTTGTTTAGAAGGGTATATCTCTGGTTTTATTCCCTTTTGAAAGAGATTAGATATCATATTTAATGCTTATTGTATTTCTTTTACTCGGAGATGCCACGTGTCAATATGACTTTTTTTGTAGCGGTTCGAGAGAGCTGAATTAGATTAGCGATGTGTGTGTGTGTGTGTGTGTGTGTGTGTGTGTGTGGGCCGTGCGGTGTTGGGAGAGATATTTTAGAACAGAACAAATGGCTCATTCAGTCTCTAATGACGTATGACTCCACTCAACTGGGTTTGATTCCAGCCGTGCTCTGATTAAATTATAAAGAGAATTTTTATTTATACAATAATTTTAGTGTTGGCTGACTTCCATCAAAATTATCGGCTATTTTTTAAAAATATATAAATTTCTTTATAATTAAAAAAAAAGCAAATAGAAAAGAAATTTGAGTGGTTTGGATTGGGTTAGGCGAAGAGGCGAGGGAAGGAAAGGGAAAGGTGCATATGCTCATTTATGACGCATGGTATAATTCTGACGGTGAGAAGAATATCCAATTCACTCTCTTACCTAAAATGTTATTAAAAAGTTAATATGCATGGGTGGCACTTTCATATAAAACGACACCCTCTTTATTTGAACATTACCAAACAAGTCAATCAAAGGATAAATTCACCGCATCGTAATGTATACGTTCAAACCTTGAAGGTTAAATTGGTAATTTTATCGGTAGCATTTTTCGAGAAGATTCGGATCTATCTGATGGATATTCTTGAATAGAACCTGGAATCTACCGTTCATATCTTCTAGAAATGTTCCCCTGTTTCTCTTCTTTTTCATTATTAAGAAATATCTACTACAGTAATATGGGATCTGCGAGTTGCACAGGTATGCATATTTAATATTTTTAAAATAGGTTATAAACAAATTTGCTCACCCCGAATAAAGTAATTAGATTAAAAGATAATACTGGTTAGATTATACAAGTTTTAGAATATATATAGAGAGAGAGAGTTGTGTTAACATAAAATTAATAATTATATCTTTATAATTATTAATATCAATTAATATTATGAAGATTAATTATTTAACCTTAAAATTTATATTGAATTCATTTTCAGGTTTGATATTGACTGATAACTTTTTTCTCACAGTATAAGATTTTTTTCAGCTAAAGTTTGAAAACAGACTAAATTCCATCTTTATAAGTTTTTTCTTGAAAATTATTAGATTTTTGGAATGTCTATGTAATGTACTTATATAATTATTGTTAGTACTCATCTAATGTGTGAAGATTGAAAAATTAAATCAAAACTAACATGTTATGATGGAGAACAATTTTCAATCAATTAATGAGCAATACCAAAATCAAGATAAAATTGAATATAGAAAATAACACTTTTATTATAAAATGAATAAGTACATCGTTTTTTCATACTGTGAAGTGGGTTTGGACGATATAGACTTTATTTTCTATTTTTCTTATAGTTGTTCAGTTCCTCTAGTGTATATGCATACTCTCTTTTGTTTAGGTTATAAATAATATTCATGACAGATTTCATGATTTGTAACATATGGTCAATGATTTCTCCGAATTTCTCTCTTTTAGCATGTAGATCATCCAGATTGCTCTCAACTTTTTTGAAAATCTCCCTCAATTCCAGCATTCCCTGAAAAATGTCTAAACCAATTGCAGAAATAATATACAATCAAATTTTATAAATATAAGGAAACGGTAACATGAACGTATAAACATAATTATCAGATGAACTCTCGACATATCAAAAAAAAAAATTTAATGGTTTTTATATTTCCGCAAATATGTATCATTGTTTTGTTTGCAATTTTGTAATTTAGGATACAAAAGACGTGGAACATTTATACCTTCTGGTTGCCTCGGTGGAGAATTATTGTTATTGAGGTTGTTGCTGGTATTCGTTGTAGATTCTTTTGGTTGTGATGTTTTGTCAGCTATTTTCAAATTAAGTTTTGGAGAAGAAATGAACAATTAAAGTATATAGTATCTGAAGAAAGTTAAATCGGTGATTGATGTCAGAGCAATATTTATAGAAGAATAAGATACGAAAAGGTGGAATATGAACAGACATCTGGTAATAAATAAACGTGTCGATCGAAACAGTGTTAATAATTATTTTGATAAGGTAATATGAAACATTAGTAGACTATCTGTAGAATATTAAAGAAAATCGTAATAAATATTTTTGTTAAGTGTGCAACATATTAATTAGGTAGTTAATAATGGTTCAGCAAGACGTTGAATTATTATGATAAATAAACAATGTGATTTACTAATAATAAAATCTTATTGATACATTTTTAAAGGATGGACAATAAATATTTTGTCAAGTATCAAAATTAGAGATGATATGATGATGTCACAATATATTTATTAATTTTTTAATTGTGGTTTGATAATATGGTTATGAAACATGCATATAGTTCGACTTTGATCTTGTTTGATCAGTAATGGTACACAAGTTTTTTTTTAAATGTGTAATAGAAATGGTTATTTCTAGTTTTTTTTTTTTTTTTTTTAATTAAGATTATAATATATTTAGATTGATGTTTGTTGTATATGTTCAATTTTTTAACATAATGTTTGAACAATTTCAAGGGTACTGTATCACGCAATATAAAAGTTGTTCTAGGAAAATTAAGAGACATCTAACAACAGATATACACGTTGATTAAAAAAGTCTTGACAACTTGTAGCAAAACTGTTTGTGGTGCATTAAAGCATAGCGTAATAAATAGTTAACAATGGTTCGGCAGGCGGGTTTCCAAAATATGTTGTGGTTCGGCGTAGAATTCAATCTAATGAATAATGCAATGAAAATTTATTTTTATATGTTATAGGAACAATATTTAGATTGATGTTTGTCGAACATATTTAATTATTTGAAATGGTCATAATCATTGGTGTTTAATATTTTTATTAAATATTGTTTACGTTTTACTGATCATTGTAATTTTGTGATGAATTTTTCTTTATAAGTTATTAAATATTTGGATCAATCGTTGATAATTGAGTGAGTTTTAAGAAAGTTACTAAAAAATTAAATTTCATACAGACTATTTGGTAATCCACGTTACATCTATGACATGTGATATTTTCTGGTGACGTTGATTTGTCCCAGTGTATACGATTTTGATTCTCCTTGTTGCAAGTTCCAAACATTCGTCTTTTAATGAGAATTGTTACAGTTGGAGTCAAGGACTTGAATTCTTTCATGTAATATTTCAGTTTATAGAAATGATTAGGTAGTTTTACTAATTTCATTAGAATTTGTATAGCTCTGTTGTCATGTACAGTAAGCAGAGCAACGACAGTGTGATATATTGCTTGCATGTTATATTTTTGGCAAACTACAATCAGTAGTTTTAATCCCATATATGTACCATGTTCGATGAAGAACAAACGTGTTCCCAGCAGTAGCAAAACTTGTTTATTTTCTACTTCTGCAAGTGTCTTCAGAATTGAAAGTCCTACTGTTGTTATTGTTGGTAGTTTGTGTCGTCGTTTCGAAATGTCCATTCTTTGTAATATTTGTTTTATGTTTGCTTGTTTGTTCAGAGATTTGCATCTGTAAATTGTACAGTAAGTAATGGTTTTGAAGCACTAGATTCATAATAGTAAAAAAAATAAAAAATTCATTGTTGGGAATCATAATACCATTACCTTATGATTAAGCAATTAAGAATAAATAAGTGTATCAAATATGACTCACTTAAATATGGATCCTAAAATGCATTTTGTTTTTTGTGTATTAGAAAATTATTAACAACTAAAGATGCACACGGTTAGGCAGAGTCATTTGTATGTTTAACCATTATTGTTATAAGACTGTTGCGAAACAAACTACTATCTTATTGTTATTAGTTGTATATTTAACCATTTTGTATAATATCATTTTTCTGTATGACTAAGAAAATAATGAAATCAATAGATTAATGAAATACGATAGTTTTAGTAAAACTTACGTTAACCGTATTGCTTATAAAGCGGTATGATCTTTGTCGGTTGCTTTTACAATGATTCATTGTAGAATTTCTGATGGTGATTGTAATAGACCTGTGGGTTTTTTTTTTGTTAATTTGAAAGGAATCATGATGTCTTGATGTTGTTTTTTGGGTGCAAGTATATGGAAATTATGATGTCGATATGGTATATGTGGTTTATATAATTCACGTGTGGGTAGCAAACAGTTTTTTTTCTTTCTTTGGTATTTCAGCTGCTTAGATAATGTTCTGTTTATTATTAATAGGAGTCAACGTTGTTATCTGAATCTGGTTTTTAATAGTTTGGTAAATTAATCATTTAATGTCAAGTATTACTTATATTTAAATGTAAACGGTCCGCATTCATGTTAATTTCTATATAGGTATATTAAACATTTGAGATATTTGATTAGTACGCACACGGCACAATACGAGATATCATCAAAATATCAATCACATCAATCAAAAAGTATAATGAGAATGGTATTGATGTTATTGATAGATGTGTTTTGTCCAATTAGGAATACAAAAGAAACAAATGGAATATGAATGAAGATGTTATAATAAATAAACGTGGTTGTTTAAGAATAATAAGATCTAACTGACATGAGTTTAATAGAAATGATAAGAAGAATAAATTGGAAAAATAACATCGATTGTATGATTAGACCACATAATATTCAGGTAGTCTTCTCAACTTGCACGAGTGATTTAAGTTCGTATCACTTTAATATTATGTAAATTATTTATTTAAAATTTAAAAGTATTTATTTGTTTTTTGAGAATACAAAAGATGCTTTGGGAAAACCAATAAATGTCTAGTAATAAGTAAATATATTGATTGAAAAAACATTAATAACATTTTGGATAAGAGGATACGAAACGGTAGTAAACGTAATAAATATTTTGTTAAATATTCAAGTAAGAAACGTCATAATGATATTATGATATATTGTTTGGATTGTGAATAATGGTTTGGCAACCGTGGTCCAAATGGATGTTATCG